GGTCCTCGGTGGAACTCAGGGACAGGTCACGATACAGCTGGTCCTCTAGTGAAGTCACGGTGATGTCTAGGTCATAAGGACTAATGGTGTACAACTATACCATAGATATCTCTACTCGATTATTGGGAACCACTTAGAGATTTCTAGGGTGAGGGAGTTCAGTGAACTCGTCAACTTACGAGCACCCACTTGTGCATGCCGATATCACAATACCGTTTACTGATGAGATGCAGTACACATACACTAAGTGCTAGTCTTAATGGGAAAGGCCGATATCCTCATTAGTGGCGTAACCCTTCGACTAGGAACACGTTTAACAGTTATAATACTTAAGTAAATATCTCACGATCCTAACGATCAATTACTAGTACTTGTAATAACTGTAAGGACTATATCTATGCTTGTGACAAAGGGACAAAGATATAGAATGCCAATGTGTTTTATCATTAATACGAATAAAGGTTCGTTTATTACAATAATAAATACGAAAGACCACAGCCACAAGTTGGCTTGTTGGTCACCTACTCTAACAACAATTTGCAAGGTATGTCTTTAAGTTACATTTTACAAACACTTTGTTTAATATTTTTATTGTTTGCATAGTGTCCCATAAACAATTTTTTTAGTTGATGTTTTTAATGATGCTGATTTTTTTTAGTTTGCTGATTGCGTTTGGCGAAGTCATATGTAGTTTATTGTTTGCAATTCAATAATGCAAGTTCTGATGATTTTTTTTCTTCAGTTTGTTGTTTACCTTTGGCAAAGTCATACGTAGGTTTTTTGTTTGCAATTCAGTAATGCAAATTCTGGATTTTTTTTCAGCTTGCTGTTTGTATTTGGCAAAATCATAAGTATTTTGTTGTTTGAAATTTCAACAATATAAATTATAAATTCTAATTTTCAGTTTGCTATTTGCAGTTTACGGAGTCATAGGCATCGCAGTTCACGGTCATAGGCGGCGGCGCGGCGGTGGTAGCGTTTTTAGAGTATGAGTTTGTAAAATAAATAGTATATTGTTTCTTACGAATTAATTTAATTTTTTAGTTAATATTTGGAAGAAAAATGTTTTGAGAAATTGTTTTGATAGAGAGATTTTTGGTGATTTGATTTGATTTGATTTGATTAAGGGTATTTTTGCCACAATAAATATTATTAATTTGTTAAAACATGAAAATTTTGACTTGAATCTATAACATAACTTATAATATAGAAGAATCTATAGCTAATTGCCCATTTATTTTTTTAACATCATTTCAATGAGTTTTGTCACTTACATATCATTGATGAAAGTATCATCGTATCATACTTTTCTCATAAAAGTACATCAGGAAGACCTACTAAATCAAATGTAGTTTCATTTTACGGGTTATAAAAGTTTCATCTAATTTCTTTATTATTAAAGATGCATATTAAATTTACACATCTCGATAAAAAAACAGCTATAAATTTATATTAATGAAAAAAATAATCAATAAAAACATTCTAGAGGTTTGAGAGGTCAACCACGAAACTAAATTAAGCCACTAAAAATGCTTGACAGACTATTGAAAAACTCATTTTCTGACGAATCATAGATCCTAGTGGAATTTGATTTCTCCAATAAATGGAATACAATGTTTCCAACCTTTTATATTATGTGTATGTGTTAAATAAAAGAAGAAAATAAACCAAAGAAAAAACAAAGAAAGAGAACTACTCAGGTG